ATATTTAAAGAAAAACACGCAATCATTTGATTTTCCAAACAGTGGGATTTCTAAGAAAATTGGTTTGTTTGATTATAAAGTATTATATAAGTAAAGTACAAGATATCAAAGATTTGGAACTCTCGATTTTCGAATATTCGAATTCGTACGGGTTTCAGTCCGAAATCTGAGTTATTTTTGTTGAATATCTGCGAGCATCGAATATTTCGTTTAAACACCTGTAAATAATTGAACATTGACCGAAGATTTGTGTTGCTTGGATATTCGAATAATTCGAACACTTGGAAGTATTTAGTTGTATATTCAAAAAAACTCGACTATTTGATTATGCGAGTATACACAATATTTTGATTATCTGGATATTCGAATAATCCAAGCCTCCACTATTCCAAAATCTGAATTCATATATCCCAAAATAGCGATTCAAATATCATTTATTGCTTTAGGAAGCTCACCAAAGATGAACATTCGATATTCGTTCTCAAATTTGCGAAATTACGAAATATGGCGGCCGAACACCCGTGTTTCGCTGGAATATTCAAATAATTCGATATTTCAGTCAAACTCGAATAACGAAAAATTTCGTATATTTGAACTATGGAAATCATCTAGTTCGAAAAAAATGGCTTGATCATTCAAGGTTCATTCATATTGCGCATGTGGTCGCGACGCGATTGCAGCTGGAAGGCGTCGGCAGGCGATTGTCAATTCTGTGTGCGACATTTGTTTTCATTTGTTGTTGTACTTTTTCTTATGTTGGCTCAGAAGAATACGCCCTCCCTGTTTTTTAATCCTAAGTTTTTTCATCTTTTTAACCTTTGTTTAAGGTAGAAATTACTACATAAACTGAAACTAGTTGAGCAACACGAATTGGACAAGCCACTCTTAGTAGAGTTCTGCCAGCGCTCATTGGCTTCCTGCATCTATCTATCGTAGTTTATGCGCTGATTTTACGCCTTGTATCGTTTAGGGGCCGGCTGTAGATAGTTTTGCTGTCCGCTTACAATATCTTTCTTCGCGCTTTACATCACTTTGATCTTAACGTGGAACTCCATTTTTGTAATTCTTTGCTATAAGAAATATTTATGGAACTGAGTGGCTGAGCTCGGATATAGTAATGGTCTACTCTATAGTAATTATAGTAATTTTCTCTACTAATCTACTAACATTTGGCTTTTTCAGGGAAATTAAGCAATACCCACGTAACACTTATTGGAACAAGTTTCGCTTGTCCTTAGGACTTACTAATTAGGTTAGTATCTACTTCTTTTTTATTTGTTGTTCATTTCGGATTGTAACACAAACACGAATTCTTCAAACGAGAAGCTGTTATTGAAATATGTACTGTTTATTTTAGTAAATGTCACTCTAATGTGGGCTGGAATTGAATTGAATTGTTAGTTTGCAACTTGCGGTGCTCTCCTTCTTTGAAGGTGCAAACTTCCCCAACATAACAATCGGGACATAGACTCATTCCCCAGATGGGCGTATCTAGAGGGCTTAAATACATATTTTTAACTAGTAGGGTCCTATCGGCAACTGCATTAAAGACATCTTGTTACTCAGGGTATCTCCATTCTTATAGGGATCATCCGTGGATCGGCCCATCTTATAACGCTTATAAGCGCAATAAGAATCGGCCGATTGAGGATGCGCGGCGGTTGCGTTGCGGCCCCTTTTAAGTACAGATTCGGCTTCCCAGCTTTTCCGCCCCTTTTCCTTCCGACTTTGACTTACTTTGTTTCTTTAGCTGTGTTAATGTTCTCAGAAGTCGTCAGTACGGTGCCTGAAAGATGAGTAACGAACTCCAGGCAAATTGTGCTTGACTGCGACTCCGCAACGCAAACGCCGCGCACCTTCCATCGCCGATTCTTATTGCGCTTGTAAGCATTGTAAGGATAGGCCGATCTTTATGAAGTATGAAGATACTCTAAGTGACATAAAGCATAGAAATAACAGTAAAATATAAAGAGACAAAGATACTTAGTCAGTGGCCTCTGAAAAGAGATGCGTGCTGTTAGGTGCATCTCAATAATTCCAATTCTCATTAACGTATCTGTCAAAAGTTTCTCTGCAAGAAATTATGGATTGGAATCGGTGGTAACACGAATAGCAATATGAGTGTATATAGCGGAGTGGTAAGAGCAGCGCGACGGTTCGCTGTTTCCCAATTTTCCAGGGGATCGTTTACCAGGTGAAGAGATAGAACGAGTTTTACGCGGCGACTCCAGTACACTCCTCATCTCTATATCACTTTCCTTGTAGTACAAAAGCTGAAATTAATAACGCTATTAGTGTTTAATTTTCTTCCAAGTGGTTCTGACGATTATGCCTGTTGTGGAGGAGGCATATTCGGTGGTGTTAGATCTTATAGTCCTTGTTTCATTTCAGCATTAGCTCGCTTCTATATGAATGGATGAGTGACTGTCTTTACGAGTTGTTGAGAGTCGCGCTAGTGACATAGGTGTTGTACCTTGTGTGTGAGATCCGCCTTGGGATCTGAGAAGAAGGAAATTCATATCGATGGAACTCTTCAGACAGCCATTATCGCAGAATGCAATTTGATAGCTTATTTATTTTCAGAAGCCTTTAAGTCATGAACTACCCGCAAAATATGAATCAGTCCTGTTCTTCGATGAGTGCTGCAACTCAAGGCAGACGTGTGGCTTCTGCTCATCACCAGATGCCACTCTATAACAATCAGACATCCAATGTACCTCAAGGCATGCAACAGTTGCCTTCTAATCAACATGCACAAGCAGTTCGCCCTAACCCTCGATTGATCTACCCGAGACAGCAATATCAAGGATATATCCATCCTGCACAGATTACTATGCATCCCAGTTGTCAGATGACCACTCAGCCATATCCGTATCGTCCCGCTGTCTACATGACACCTGCGCCCAGCCAAATCGTCAGCGAATACTCCATGTCCGGAGGTTACCCACAGGGTTATACACAACGTTCAGCTAATGTCGTGAGAACTCAGAAGGAGAAGAAACAACCGTCGGTGAACTTGCAGGCAGTTCCACAGTCAAATGAGCATGCACCTCTTGCATCAGCTGTTCTCGTTGAAAATGATGAAGAAGGTGATGGTGTGTTTTGCTACGGTGTGACTGGAACTGAGTGGATTTGCATCTATGTAAGTTATATCTATGTTTTTCTTATGTTATAGTGCCTTTTAAAGTTGTTTTACCGAATTTTTAAAAATTAATTTCAGCTTGTGGCAGTCATGATTGGAGAAATAGGTTACAAGCCTCTTGGCCATCTTCTAATCAATAAGAAAACCATTACCTCTAAAATTAGTGTGCAAGATAGTAATAAGAATTCCGCTTGCAAATCTCTTTATATCCAAGAGTCTCATGTTGCTGGGATTGTGGTAAGTTTTGCGCTAAACATGGCTTCTTACTTATTCATCTTGTAT